ATGAGATCACGATAATGAGACTGATTTGCTTTTAAATACAGATCCTAAATAATCCCAGACATAGGTTACTCGAGAGGGATATCGAGATAACCGGACAGACTAATATGTTGTATACCCATCCATATTATGGATGTAGCTGGTCTTATAGTTGCTCTGTGGGGACACTAGGGATATAATACATATGCTCATTGGGGAATGAGTTCATTGATTGATCCGCTTGTGGAATGCTGAATAGTTGATGATGCCTTATTGTCAGACAGTAATTCCGTAGTCCCAATGGTATATCTAGTCCTTAGACTTGAGACACTAAGGATATTCTGTATGAGTGCTTTACTCTTTGATATCGAACTTATATGTTTGAATGTTCCAGAACTAACACAGTCGGCATCGGGAGTGGTAGTCAACCTTACAATGGCTATTGAGTGTCGATAAAGGATTATTCACTCTCAGTGTCATGAGAGGAATGTCCTATGTGTTCTTGCTCAGACAAATCCCTAGCCAAGGTTATTCGAATTGAGAAAAAAGAGTTCTTTGGGAGAATCTGATTCGAGCGAGACTCGAGTAAAAACCGTATGGGTCTGACAGTACTATGCCCGGTATACGATCTTTGAAATATTTAGATGGATGAGGGACTATAGGTACACAGTAGCTGAGGACAGACAGGTCCAATGGATTGGATTCCTTTGTATCATCTAGGGACTACAGCATAGTGGCCTAGTACATCTATAATCGATGAATCGAGTGAATTATTATGAAGATAATAATTTATTGAGACAGAACGAGTTCTGACATAAATGACTCACAGCCAGCTCGATATTTGGCCTAGAGGATCACACACATATGATAGGTATTGCAATGAGTAGAGGTTCGGATATGAGATATCCGTCGGAGCCCCTATCTTATTGGATATCCAATAAGCCTCTGAATTATTGGATCCTATGGATGAGATCCAATAAGAGCCAATGAGAGATTATTGGATAGAGATCCATTAATCTAAGAGGCTTGGGTAATTGGATAGAGATCCAATACCCAATAGGGGAGGATTCATTAGGGTTAAGTTAATAGGGGACATTTATAAATAGGAGGGTTTTAATAGTTCATAGGCAAGAGCTTTTTGCTTCCTCTCGTATTTTCCTCCCCCTCTCCACCTCAAAGCAGGCCTGGAGTTTTGAGGAGCGTCATCGCAGCCCTACTATGTAGATCACTGCTAGAGATGAGGGTGCTTGACCTCCTTCACCCTCTCCTAGAGATCTGTAGGGATATACGATCTCCCTAAGTAACACTGATGTCACCTCCAAAATTTTTCAACAATATAAATAATAAAAATTAAATGAAGTGATATCATAATTTTTCTAAGGTTTTGGAGAGACTGATCATTTACGGATGGATATGCAAGGATGTTGTGATAGATGGTATCAGATCGGGACAAGCACACTTAGAAACACTTTGCATACAAATGTAAAAGATCTAATGGGGCTGCATTGAGGATAGTTAGCATGAGCGACTGTTTGAGGGAAACAGGCTTTGAGACATAGGGAAAGGAGTCACTTAGATAAACGAATATTATAGATTGGCATCCAGAGGAATGGACAACCCTTCACGCAAGAGGCACCACAAGGACAAGCGAGTTGGAAAGAACGTGTAATGCACAAACATTGGGATGACTGAGTTCGAGCTACAGTTCAATGTTGACAACTGAACTTGACGGTGCTCAAGGAAACTGGGGCACTTTGCAAAGAATGAGACTATGCAAGGAGGGATAGATTGCTTGGTGACCAAAAGAGTTATGTAAAGCTCAAAGAGGTAAGAGAAATTACTAACTCGAAGAATTTGGTACTCATGTAATAGCTTGTATGTGGACGATGGACCATCTGTGGCCATTCCAAGGTGACCAAAACTTGATGTCATGGAGCATTAAAACTTTCTATCCGGTATGGGAAGGATACGTTCGTAGGAGGCTAAAGTGTACAACAAGTTTAGTATGTTGCTAGGCCTTAAGGGGCACAATGGGGGTTATATTAGCGAAGAGTCATAATCTAACAAATGTATTCGCGAGGGTGGAATAGTGCACAATTTGATCAGCAAAGAAGAGTAGTCTAAGGGGATGGTAGTCTCCAAAACTTCTAGAGGGAATGATGCGAAGAGAAAAATTACTCTAATGGACAAATATCTAGAATAAGTTCTAGTTCTCCAAAGAGAGAATATATGTAAAGAACTACACATGTTGAGTAGGGGTACTTCAAGACAATAGCTCCCCAATGCTCAATGGACCAAGCAAGCGGCATGGAGTCATCACATGATCTCATACGAGGTAATGCTTTAGTTGACCTATTGCGAGATCAAGTGGGGGAGCAACCCAAGATAACACCAAACGAAGATACACTTAATGCAGATATGAAGATCGGACTCAATAGAGAGTAGACCTATGAAATGGTGGGCGCAAAGACTTCCAACAACTTAATGCAAACTGAAGAGCAGAGCAACTTGGGTGGAACTTGGTGAAGTGCCTAATCCGCATAAAGGGAGTCGATATAGAAGATGGAACATGGAGTAGAGGCATGAAGCTTTCCTTATATAGAGGTAAAGGATATAAATTCTTGCATAGGCAAGAGCAAGATTATGTCATTCCGTATGTCCCTCATTCAGATGAAGCAGACTAATTTTGTATGGTGCCAAAGTTGAAGGGAGCTTCAAGGCACATGCACCTTATCTTAATGAAGTATTTGATAGAGAAACTAAGGCGACTCAACTTGCGGAGGTGAAGTTGGGGTCAGAAGGCCTTGACACGAGGCAAGAGGATGAGGAGGTGGGTACTTTTGAAGAATATCATGCAGTGCTATCATTCGAGTTACCATGAAAGAAGCAGTGCATAGTGGAGATTATTCTA